GCGGAGTCGGGGGTCCACCTCCGTTCCGCGAGGCGGTCGATCTGAAGCGCCACTTTAAAGGCTCATCAATCTTAATCTAGGTTGCTCAAGTAATTATGCCCGAATCTCTTGTACGATTACAAGTGGATTTGGGTTTCTATTCCCCAGGCCCTCCTTTGTGTTTATTGGAGGGTCTGTGCGCTCTCCGCGGCCCGGCCCCGCGCCCAGCTCCAAATCCCCGAACGCGGGGGCTGCGTCCGACGCTCCCTTAACCCTTCAACCACCAGGACTCCTCTGGATGCCGCTCGAGCATTTCCCTTCTGGAGAAACCCAGGTTTACTGCAGTTTGGGGCAAGGTGAGAAAGAAGGTGACGTGATTCACATCAGAAACAGTGTCTTCTTACTCATCCTTGGGCCTTGTTAAATATAATCTTAGGAAAGTCCTTATTCTAAACACAGAAGTCTAGGGATTTCTGGTTTAATACAAGTTTTTGGCATTTGGCACCCAAATGGTCAAAAACCTAAAAAATGGCAAACGGCTTCTTTCTCTTAAAAAGTAATTCAACATATCCAAACAACCAAATTGGAAAAACTGAAAAAAGTCAAGAAACACATTATGAAAACCATACCACTGATTTACTGAAATATATTACGAATTTCAAATACAATTCCGTAAACTTTTAACGGGGAACACATTTTCTCTACATGTTTCCCTGTGTTTCTGAGAGGACACTGCACTTCCTTTTGATTTTACTCCAATCTTGTTCTATTGAATTGCTATTTTCTGGGGGTTTATAAAAGGGCTTCAAACTGGTCCTTTTAAAGAAAGACACATCATAAAATACTCAGCTTTAATAGTGTGTCATTTTACCCTTGTCCCTTGGAAATCATCAATTACAACTTCCAATTCCATAGCATGTTTAAGGAGCACTGAGTCTTTTTGTTGTAGCCTTCAGGAAGCAAAACAGTCAGAGAGAAGAGTTAATCCACTACAGCAATAGAGAGAGGGGATTATACTTTAATCCCTCATGATTTTAGGGATCTGATATTAAAATGTTTATATAAAGCACAATCACAAACCAGCAGACCTTCCATCTGGAAGATGTGGTTACAGTATTTAAAAAGGGCAGCATGTCTGGATGCCAGAGTAATGGTCACCCCGCAGGTTCTGTTCTAGAAGATAACTTGGTAAAAATTTAACTCCTAACTGCTTAGTGTAGTGAGTTGGGAACCTGAATGTACATATATTTAATCCAATCACTACTATAGCAATAAAGGGATAAAATATAATGTCATCAGCATGCAAATAAACAAGTGATGAATATGAAAGTGTGGTCAAACAAATGGATGGGACAAACCATCTCCCCTTATTGATGCCTATAATAGTTTAAAATTGCATCATCTAAAGTGGTAATTAAAGGAAAATAAACATCATTTACTTTTTAGAATTGGGAATATGATGTTTAAGAAATCTTGATCCATTACTGTTTTTGAAGGGAGGATAGGGATATCACTTGCCATTAATTGTAATGTTAATCTAAAATCTGAATTAGAACAAAGATCGGTTCCCAAGCATAATGAAAAGAATCTTTAAAAGAATAAATTCTCTTTAGAGCCATAGGGTCTTTAATCAGTTGAGATGGTAAACCTAGAGTAGAAAAAACATGTTTTATATTTGAAAAAGGAACTATTCATCAAATATATTTTAAAAGTATAATGCTAAAAAACACTCGTGGGTTTGGATGCATTTACTGAAAACAAAATTCTAAGCCTGGAATTCTTAATACATCAACTTTTTAATAGAACTTTATAGTTTACAAGTTCTTTTACATAAAACTTTATAGTTCAATATTCACAATTTTGGGTTATGGATGTGAAAATATACTCTTGCCCAAAGATCACCAGGAACACATCTGCAGCTGAAAAAGTTGGGTTTGTTGATCATTGCAATGAGGAAGACATGGAAAATGAGGCAACTAAGTACGAGGGTGTTGGAAAGACTTCCTGTAGGATCTGGGCTTTGGTTAAATGGTTTTGGGAAGCAATCAAGGAAGGAAGAAGGGCTTTACTCTGGATTGGGCTCTATCAGGAAGCAAGGACAATTCTGTGATTGGGTGTCTTAATAAATCTTATCTAAAGGGAAGGAGGTCTAGATCTAGTAGCAGTCACTCATATTATTAGCCAGGAGAGGGGATGTTCGGTATTTAGGTGGTATGCAGAGTGACCTTGTTTTGGTCTGTGCTTAGACAAAATTATAAGCTGTTTTTGTCTCACATCATCATTACGTGACCTTGTCTGATGTTGGTGTTCTGTGCGGTTATGTCCAAAAGGAGAACACCATAGCCTAGCTGTGAGCTCTAGGCCAGCTCCCAATACTGAGGCCTCCTTGTAAGGGTAAGGCCGCTTTCCTTTTTCTCAGATACAGGAATTGATCACTTTTTTTGGGAGGGGTTTCAACAACATTCTAGTGCTTAAAAGACAATTTCTGGCAATTAGATTTTCAAAATTAGATTTACAAGTTGCAATATAAAGAACAAAAAGGAATATACAGGGTAGGGCAAAAGTAGGTTTACAGTTGTTCGAATGGATTAATACAATAATTAATAATAATACAAGAATATACTCTGTTTCTCTCACAACTCTAAACCTCCTTTTGCCCCACCCTATGTATAGGGACAAAGAGTTGAAGTTAATTAAAATTGGCATCATTACAAGTAGTTGATGACTTTAAATTGGAAAAACAAA